TAGGGAGGTGGAGATAGGAATGTAAGGTAAGTGGAGACAGGATCTTGGCCCTTCATTCAGTCAGAGGATTCGTAGAGGTAAGATGTCTTTCTAGTGGCTGCTGCTCTGCTTCTATGATCTTTCAGCTTTCATCCTCGATATCTGACTCTTGTTTTTTTTATTGTTAAGACTAATTAGGTTCGAGCTTCATTGGCATAAGCCATAAAGAGCTCAAGATGATAACTAAATAGGGACAAAACCTGGGATTTGTCTAGGCCTGCCCCCAAATGGAAAACTGTAGCCCTGACCAGCCCTTGATTAGCCCTGGCCAATTAGAACATACTAGTATGATTGACACTTGCTTGAGCCAATCATATCTAAAGTGACCTAACTGTTTTAGTACCTCCCCTTGGTTGTGCTCACAATTTTCTTGGGGTCTTCACCATCTTGCCTTTATGTGGGACGGCAGGCCCCAGCATGCTAGAATAAAAATGCTCTTGCTGATCGCATACATGGATGATGGTCTTTTGTGGGACCTTTCCAGGACCCTAACAACATCTTGCAGTGATAGCCAGAAAACAGACACAGAATACCTTGCTGCCAGGCCTTTTCCTGTGCTCCTAGTAGTCCATCTTGGCTCCTGGCTGTAGCTGGAAGTTTTCCTGTATCCTATCCAGTCTGCAGCCACTCAGACCCAAGTAAACACACACAGGCTTATATTAATTATATAACTAATTACTGACTAGCTCTTACACTTAAACTAACTACTGAGTAGCTCTTACACTTAAACTCAGCCTATTTCTGTTAATTTATATGTCGCCATGTGTTCCGTGGTTTTACCTGTGTGCCATTACATGCTGCTCCCTGGACAGTGGGTTGGCATCTCCTGACTCAGCCTTCCTCTTCCCAGAATTCTCCTTGTCTGCTTATCCCGCCTATAATTCCTGCCTGGCTACTGGCCAATCAGTGTTTTATTAAACCAGTGTACAAAAGCATTGTCCCAAAGCACCTGGCCCATGTGGGGATACTGCCTGCATTGAGAGAAGGTCTACTCTCACTCTTCTAGTGAAGATGGTCTGGAAACATTCTCAAAGGCACACCCAGAGGTGCATTTGAGTAACCTAGGTGCTTTGGAATCTAACCAGATTGACATCTCAAATTCATTCTTGATGAACATCAGGGTGCACGGGGCAGGGGTCTGTGTGTGTGTGTGTATGTGTGTGTGTGTGTGTGTGTGTGTGTGTGAAAAGAGTCCTGAGAATATTCAAGGCAGGGGAATTATTATGATAATATGATGGTGTCATGTACATTGTATTGATAAACTTCCATGTGCTCACTGAGAAACTGTCTCTAGAAGTAAAGATTATGTTTGTATGACCTTCCCCTCATTTCAGAACCAAGCACATATTTTCCAAGGCCCCTTGTCTGGATTTAGGCTGGCCTGCACAAGGATGTCAACACAAAGTAAAAAACGTCATGTCCTTGAGAACAGTGAGAAGGTAAGACATTTCCAACAGAGGTTACCATGGTATGAAAGTGCCTGCAGTGGGAAAGAGAAGCCAGAAACTCAGCCATGGGAAGCTCATCAGTAGAGAGAAAGTGCATCAGGAACCTCAGCTGACTGCCTCAACTTCTCCAGCTGGTTTCTGATGGTTGTTGTGAGCTCCCAATTTGATGATGTTACTCCTATCTGTGGCTCTTTATTCCTTCACTTGGAGGTTTTACTTATGGGGACACTCTGCCATGCCTGAGACTCTCACTGGGGAACTTTAGCTGGCTGCCATAATGGGGCTTCCACAGTGAATTTCAGCTGGATATTTTGAGCTACTGATTTGATTGTGTTTTGCTATTTATCCATCCATCATTCCATCTGTCCACCCATTCACTTGCTATTTATTCTTTTACTTTGGCTTAATATATATTTAATAAACATTCTCTCAAAACCCAAAGTTTGGTTATTGTAGATCATTGTCTGAACAATACAGAACACTGTTACACATTTTCGAAACACAGAATATGTAACATCAAGACAAACTCTAATGTAACCTATGGAATATGGTACATAACAATGTTTCTGGTGGACAGGAACCAGAGTTCTATTTTTAGTATACCCTCTAAGGCACCTAGTTTAATTCTAAGAAATATTACATTAAGGTATTTGGAGTATATACCTTTGGTCTGTAAAAGGAGATGGGAAAACTAAAGGCACTTCAAAAGACATAATGCAACTCAACAAACTGTTGTGTTCTTTGCAATCGAATTCCAGCATTTTGCTTTTGAGCTCTGTGTCACATGCAGAGGGTCCTTAACAAAGAAGTGGCACATTGAACTGCCATCTGTAAGAAAAAAAGAAGGAAAAGTTTAGCATAAAAGCAAGATGAGTCAGTACAAACTCCTTGTTTATTTAGTTGATTTTTGTTACAATGTTAAAATGTTGAAAAATACTATTAAATTTTTTAACAAGAATTCTCCTTAGAGCAAAGCAAATCATAAAGACAGGCAGGATATAACGGTTTATTTCACCCATTAAATTTAAATCACCAATATTTAAAAATTCATGAAATATACCTAATACTACGCCAAGAGATGAAGCAGCTAATGACAACTCACAGGGTATGGCTCTGTCCTAAGGGCCCCACCACACTGTTGGTACATAAAACTCACAACCAAGGATGCCAGGTGTTCTATCAGGGGCAATGCCACATGATTCAGATTTTAGAATTAGGGGCTAGGGCATCAGTAGTTCACTAATTAGCCCATTTACTTAGGGTTATTTTGGTTCTCTGTGAATAAGGGCTTTAATTTGGCATTCATGAAATGGCTAATGCAAGGAGGAGCCAAGTGCTATATAGCAGGAGGATGCCTGTAGTTGTGAAATGTTATTACCGTAACTTCTGAATGAAAGGGGGAAGTGAGATCATGAATAACTTCCCAAGTAAAAGCATGCCTGAGTGTGGGGGCTCAAGTCAGTAATCAGAACATTTTCCTGTCGGTTTAGGGCCAGCTTTAATTACATAGTGAGTCTAAGGCCAGCCCGGGCTGCATGACACATTACCTCACAAAACAAAACAAAACAAAAAGCTATTATTCCAGAGCACCTTGAAAGATGAATAGGCTTTTAAAAACAATATTCTAGTTGGGAGCAGGAGCAAGCACACTGCACAGATGAAGAACTGTTTTAGAATACCCAGAGTACATAAGATGTTTGAAGGGTGGCACATTGCTTTCCTATTGGTATAACAACACTAATCATTACTGTGTTACAGTTCTGAGGGGAAATGTTTCCCCAATGGGAATGTTATAGCTCTAAGAGGAAACACATCCTGGCAGTTGGGAGCCTGGGAATACCACAAAGTCACACTGCACAACAAACCTCACACAAATTTATTGAGACACAAGAGGGTGGCTGCCTTTGCTCGAGTGAGAAGCAGCAAAAACAGGAGGCAAGGTTCATATAGGATTTCTTGGGGCTTGTGGTGGAGGTTTCCAGGAATTGGCTTAGGAATGGAGGAATTTTGTGGCCTGATCTTGATCTTGGGCTTTTTTTTCTTTCTAAAGGGTAGGTAGGCCTTGAAAGGGCTAGAAACAGACAAGTCTTGGGGGCTTACAATTACTTTATAAATTCTCTAGTTCAGCCACCTCACAGGGAATAAAAATCCAGGTAATTCACAGGGCTGAGTTTCATTGCTTTAGGGAGGAATCGATTTACCTCTTTCAAGAGGTCACCCACCATTCAGATTGAAGACTCCCTTCCTCTGTCTTCAAACTCACCAGTGTTAAACATCTTTTTAATCATCCTTTATAGTCAAATCCCTTTTTTGATGCCCTCCCTTTCAGGGTTTTTTTTTTTTTTTTTTTTTTTTGTTTTTCGGGACAGGGTTTCTCTGTGTAGTCTTGGTGCCTTTCCTGGAACTCACTTGGTAGCCCAGGCTGGCCTCGAACTCACAGAGCTCCGCTTGCCTCTGCCTCCCGAGTGCTGCGATTAAAGGCATGTGCCACCACTGCCCGGCTCCCTTTCAGTTTTAAAGACTGTTACCTTGGGCTCATGCAGTAACCTTCCTATTTTTTTTAAATTATTTATTTTTATTTTATGTGCATAAGTGTTTTGCCTGCATGTGTATCTGAGTGAAGGTGTCAGAACTCTGGAGCTTGAGTTACAAACAATTCTGAGGGGCCATGTAGGTGCTAGGAATTGAACCCAGGTCCTCTAGGACGTGCAGCCAGTGCTCTTAACCGCGGAGCCATCTTTCTAGCCCTGCAGCCTTCCTATTTTACGGTAGAGTTAACTAGTAATCTTTATTCGTTGCCATGCACCCCAATGTATTTAGAGGTCTGTGGAATTAGGCTGTGGACGTCCTACCTTAGAGAGTAAAGAGGTGCTACTCTTGAATTGAAAAGTGGCTAAAAAGAAACAGTGTGAACATACTGATGAGGGCAATTGGGAGCCAGTGCATTCCCGAGGCGTGACATAATAATTATTATTATTGTTGTTTTTAAAGATGGCTTTGGTTACAGCATGTTAAATTGAGCAGGTAATTTAAGGAGCAACATTAGAGGCTACTAGAGGTGAGAGTCTCCAAAACGGGGGAGGATCGTTACATTTGCTGTGGAGCTGAGTCAGCCGGCATCTAAGTGCGTTCCGTCAGAACTCATGATGTCATCCCACAGGATCTCAGCAGGTGCTTTTGGTAATTTGGCTTAATTTGTTCAAACGCTGCTCCAACAAAGACAACGCCATCTGCGAGCAACTGGAAGAGAGTCTAAGCAACGCTCAAGCCCACAGGACTGAATAATTCTGTGGTTCACGTTCTTCAGGCTTTTGCGTAAACCGAAGGCAACACTGAAAAGGTTCACCGGGTTGGGGCTACGTCTGGTCCTGGGACCGTTCTTCCGGTTCCCACCGCCCACCCTCTGCGACTCTGAACCCGCACGCGCAGATCCGTGTCCGCGGCGCTGACGCGGGGGCGGGCTTTCCTGACTGTCTGGGTAACGAGCGACGCCTTCCGCTTTCGTCACTTCCGTGTGCACCCGCAGCTTTTGGCCGTCTGGGCGCTCGAAGCGGTTAGGTTCCTACCTCTGGCATTTGACTTCTTAGCTACACTCAACTCGCCTTACGCGGCGCTCAGAGCGGGGACATGAGTGTACCTGTGCCACCGCCTCCGGACGGGGTCCTGACCGGGACCTCCGACAGCATGGAGGCCGGCGAGCCCACGCTGGGTACGGCTGTTTGGGGGGCGACTGCCCACCTGGGCCGGGACCGAGTGGGTGGGACTCCAGCGCAGGCTGCCCTCTTGCTTTGGGCACCCACGCGCGGCAACCTTGGTCGCGCGGGGAAACGCACGGTTGGGTGCGGTCGGTATTGAGAATGTGAGTTTGTGTTGTATTTTGACTGTTTGTCATAGGGTCAGTGGTTGGGGATGAGTTTGTCAGAAAGACGGTCGATTTTCAGAGAACTATCCAATCCTAGCTGCTCGTGAAATAGTCTGACTTACTCGGTGGCATTACTTTACCCGTTCCCCGTCCCCATAGTTCCAGGAGAGATTTAAGCATTACTGCTCGAAGACATTCACTGAACGAAAGGGTTGATTTGCTATACAGCCGGATGGACACTGTTCATGTACACCATCGTCCTTGTGAGATTGAGAACATCACCACTCAAAGCATTTTCTGTTCCAGAAATAGGAAACTACAAATCACCCTCAGCATTTCCTGGCCATGCTTTTCTTTAATGACGTGCCCTCTTCAGGGCTTGTTCCGTTGTGTCTGTAAATATCCTGTAGTACCTACTTGCAGCTTGGGCCACTCTTAGGTTTTTTGCACAGAGTAGCATGCATAGGAATAAAAGCAGATGTCAGAGAGCGGGTGAGAGATGGAGATAGGTGCTGCAGATTGATCTCGGGGCTTCGTGCTAAGCAAGTGCTCTGCGGCAGAGCTAGATTCCCTAGCCTCCGATGTCTGATCTTCTGTTAGTGGTGTGAGGTTACTCTCTCATGAAACTTTGAAATTGTGTTCGACTCTTCTATTGGCTTTCCTTTGTTTACTGCAGCGGATTCTACAGTACTACTCTCTCTCTCTGTCTCTGTCTCTGTCTCTCTCTCTCTGTCTCTCTGTTTCTCTGTCTCTCTCTCTCTCTGGTGGTTGGACTTGCGTAGCACGCACTTTGACCCACTGAGCCGCCTCACCAGCATCTGTTTAGTTAATTTCTGCGTGCTTTTCAAAGCATTGATGTATTCAAGAATTCATTAATTCAGTAATTGTTAACTCATCCTTCAGTCTGAATCCTTGGGAAACATAAATTTTACATAAACCTGTAAAATTTAAAATTTAAATATGCTAATGTCCTTTGACTCTAGACTTTGTTCTATACTCTCATCTTAAAATTACTTTTTTTTCCAGTTTTGGTGATACACAGCTTAGGAAACTGAGGCAGAGGGATTGAGAGTTCTAGGCCAGCATGGACTACACAGGGAAATCTTGTTTCAAAATAAGAAAAACTCAAAACAACACAAAAACATTTTTTTGCCATGTTTTTAGTGAAAGCTCAGAAGGTACACATTTAGAAGAAAAGACTGCTGTAGTTAGGAGAGGGTGTGCTAAGAGTGCAAACCCTCTCTGTTCCTTGTGGGCTTTTTCCCTCCTCCCTGGCTGTGCTCCCCCAGCCTCCTTACAGCACAGCAGCATTCGAGCTTTCTAAATTTGGTTTTCTCTTGAGCACAGGTTTAAGTGACGCTTCTCCAGATGAAGGACTGATAGAGGACTTCGCTGTAGAGGACAAAGCTGTGGAGCAACTGGTGGGAGGCCTGCTGTCTCACTACTTACCAGATCTGCAGAGGTCGAAGCAAGCCCTCCAGGAACTCACGTAAGCCAATAGGAAGCCAGCTGTGCATGGATTCCCTCTGTGTAGTCAGAGGTCACTTGGTAGTAGCATATAGTATGACAGTGTTGTCTTTTAACATTGAATCGTTGAGCATTTCTGTGTTTTGTAAATGAGATTCATGGAGTAACTCATAATCTAAATGTCAAAAGTGAAATGAGTACTCCTAGAGAGTCTAGTTTCTTTATAGGAAAATTTGAGAATGAGTGGTCCTTGTGTGAGTTTGAATAATTTGTGTCTTTGAATGAATTGATCTGCTCCATCTAAAGTGATCTAATGTGTGTTCAGACTTGTTGGAGTTTATTGTCCTTTAAATGCCATAACAGCAGTGATCATCATCTCTGTCATGAGTGATATTTGTATTTGCGTCCTTTTTGTCTTGTTCGATCTGGCCGATGGCTTTTATTGATGCCGAAACTTTGCTTTTCATTACTTATTCCGCCCCACCCCATGGTTTTCCAGGGGTGACCTCCTGCCTTGTGCTGTCCTGTATTTGGCAAGTTGCTGGGTATTTTGTTCTCCATTCTGTATTTCCTCTTCTGTGATCCCTAGTGTGACGTGAAGGGACAGATTGTGACCTATTGGTGCCCAGAACCAGGCCTGATGGTGAACACGATTGCCCTTCAGTCTCATCGCTGATTCACCTTCACTGCACTTTTTTGCAACAAATCACATTATATTTTCGTTTAAAATGTTCATTTAGGTGACCCTTCTCTGGCACTTAACCCTGTGATCATATTTGGTCAGGTGAGGAGTAGGAAGGAAGTTAGCTTCCTCTCTCATAGGATTGGAATCCAAATGTTAGCAAACCCTTAAAGTTGTCTGGTCTGACCTTCTCCTTGTGTAGTGAGAGTTAGGGCAAGAGCAGTAACAGGACCTTCCAAGGCCACACAGCTGTGAGGGGAAGGCCACGGATGCTTCCTAGTCCTGTGCTGACTCCAACGAGCTGCTCATTTACCCCTGAGGAAGTTCTATCCTTCAACCCTGCAGCTTTCCCAGTGCCAAATCAAGAAGCCCATTGTTTCTAATTTACTTTTTGAGAATGCTCGAGTTTTTAGGATGCAGACAGAATTGAGTTTCATGAGTAAAATGCTAGAGAGCTTTTGTGGGGAGAGTGCAGAATGTTGTTAAAACAGTAAAATACTTGTCAATTAATCTGGTTATTTTTGTTATTAAAGTCTGAAATTGTGACAAAAGTAAAGCATACACTTAGTTGTCAGAATATGTCTTTGCAATATGATATTGGGAAAGACTATTCTAAGGCAAGAATGTCTTAGAGAGGCACTGTATTGCCAGCTGGGTTTCCAGCTTTGCTTATTAGCTGGAATGAATGTGATTGCTTGTAATGAAACAATACTTAGAAAATGTAAAGTTTGCTTTGGCTGTGTGCTTTTGTTTCAGACAGAACCAAGTTGTGTTACTAGATACACTGGAACAAGAGATTTCAAAATTTAAAGAATGCCACTCCATGTTGGACATCAATGCTTTGGTAAGTACGATTTTGCTTATGCACCTTATCAAGATCTTATTTTAGAAAAGCTTTGTACCTCTGCATTTTGATGATCTTATCCTCTAACTTTTATGTGTAGAATTTGTCATTTTTCACAGAGACTCTTGGTTGCTGTATTAGAATTCTCATGGTTGCTGTCTTTCACATGCTGAAGATGTATTAGGAAATTCAACTTATTTGTATTGTGGATCTCATGAAATGACATAACAAGAAAACAGAAAGTAAGGGACATTTGAGGCACTGTGTTTACCATTAAGGAAAGGGTAGTCCCTTTTGAAGGGTCAGTTATGTGGTTTTCTTAATTAATATTTAATTATTTGTATTTCTAATGCCATGGCAAGATGGACACATTGAAGATGAGTAGTTGGATAGTTGAATTTCACAAGAAGCTCTTAGGGGAACATAAAGAGACTTAGCATAGGCAAGGTCTTGTTGCTTAGCATAGGCAAGGTCCTGTTGCTTAGCATAGGTAAGATTGTGTTGCTCCTTTTCCTTCCTGTACATTAGGAACCGCTTGCCGCCATGACTTTGCAAGGGATCCTACACACTCAGAAGTGGATTTTGTATGACAGATGTGGGTCAGACTATTTCCCTTACATAGCAACCAGTGTTCTCCAGCATTGATTGACAGGCTTGGTGTAGAGAGTGCAGTCTTCTCAGCAGCTGACTGACTGCTTGTGGAGGAAGTGAGCATGGCCACACTCACTCACTTGTTTTTTCCTAGGCATTGATGTTTCGATTGGATGGGTATTTTTTGAATGAGTGAAAGTTGAATAAATGAACAAAATTCTGTTGTATCAACCTGGAAGGACAGAACTGAGTTTTTTTTTTTGTTTTGTTTTTGTTTTTTACGTATTTCTTCCCTTTGCCCAAGAGTGGTTTTAATTCTCACGTAGGAATTGGAAACAGGAATGCCTTAAAAGCTCACAGACATAAACAGTCTCTGAGCTGTCTTACTAGCAGCTATGTGAGAGGTAGCTCCTCCCTCTCGACAGGCCCGTTTCTCATTCCTCTCTCTCTGTTTCTGAGAATAAGGTTCCCTTTCCATTCTTTCCCACCTGTCTGGGCCTCCATCACCTTCAGCTCCTCCCAATAGGACCGTTTTGACTGCAGGCTGTGATGCAGAGTCCGCACTTTAACGCTGGGAGAGCAATGGTGTCCGTTAGTGGCTGTGTGGTCATTCTGACTTCAAAAACCCAAGAAATATGACTGCGTTTGTTGGCCATGCTTTTAGAATCTGTGCCCTGGCTGACATTTTTCTGACAGGAAGACATATCACTAACTGCCTGTGTGCTGGCTTGTGGCATTTTCCTGACAGGAAGACACATCACTAACTGTCTTGTGTGCTGCCTTGTTCTCTCAAAAAGGCAGTAGTGACTATCTTAATTTTTGGGTTATGTGGGTTGTTTTTGAAGGAAAATGTTGTTTATACTCTATTTAATATCAGTGTCTGTTTTATGTTTAATAACCTTTTTGAGAGAGAGAGAGAGAATGTGTGCGTGTGTGTGGCACCCTGGCTGGCCTGAAACTTACTATACAGACAAATCTGGCTTCAGATTCACACAGATCTAATGGTCTCTGCCTCCTGAGTGCCAGGATCAAGGAGTGCACTGTTATACCCATCTTTAATAGGTATTTTTTTGTCAGCTGAATTGAATAAAATGTTTTCAAAATCCTGCTAATGGTCAAATGAAATCTGCATCATAGAACTTAAAACATGGACAAAATTGAGGTTCTAAAATTGACTAGTTCAGGAAGGATGAACTGTAGTTTAGGTGTTGACATTTTATTTTGTCTGGCTCTGTTGAGTTCACGGAAGCGAAGCACTATCATGCCAAGCTGGTGAACATAAGGAAGGAGATGCTGATGCTCCATGAGAAGACATCGAAGTTAAAAGTGAGTGGAAACACTGTGTGCTCTTTGAAAGTGGAGTTCTGTTTTCTTCAGTATTCATCTTGTGACTTTATACTTCGTGCACAGTGAGGTACTAACTCATGCTGCATTGTTTCCCTTTAAAAATGAAGTCTCTTGACTCCTTCACCAGTGCATGTGAAGTTGCAATTCACATTTAATGTGAGCTTGGAGTCAAGTTTTAGTTGTTGTTTTAGATTAAGAGGACCTTAAATTACTCCAGATAAATTTAAAAGTTAAGCATGGAATTTACTAATGTGTGTTGATTAACTCGAGTCAAACATTGTTATTTTTAAGTTCTGCCATGACTAACCCTTGATTCCCCACGCCCCCCCCCCCCCCCCCCCCCCTCATCTCTCTACAGAAGAGAGCACTTAAGCTGCAGCAGAAGAGGCAGAAAGAAGAGCTGGAAAGGGAACAGCAGAGGGAAAAGGAATTTGAAAGGGAAAAGCAGCTGACGGCCAAGCCAGCCAAGAGGACATGAGAAGCCGCGCTGTGGGTGTCTGCTGCCTGTCATACCCCTGGCTCTCCAGTGCTGGGCACAGAGAGGACTCGGATGGTACCTTCTGTCAGGGCATGTTTGAAATCCTTGCCAGGGTTGCTGTGTCTCTGTGACTTCAGTTCACTTCACTCAAGAAGCCTTGTTTTTGATACTTACATTTTCAACTTTTGCTTAATTTTAACATTATTTTGATCTTAAATCATTTGTAAACTGAAAAACACTTTGGTTATTACAAGAGTCTGGATATTAGTTCATGAGTACAAGTGTTTGAGCTTCTTGAGAGTCGATTTTAAAGTTTCATTTTCTCGCCGGGCGGTGGTGGCGCACGCCTTTAATCCCAGCACTCGGGAGGCAGAGCCAGGCGGATCTCTGTGAGTTCGAGGCCAGCCTAGGCTACCAAGTGAGATCCAGGAAAAGGCGCAAAGCTACACAGAGAAACCCTGTCTCGAAAAAAACCAAAAAAAAAAAAAAAAAAAAAAAAAAAGTTTCATTTTCTCCTCTTGTGATGACAGGCCGTTCCTGCGCTGTGACACTGATTTTGGGCAATTGCTTTTCATTGCTTAAAGAGAAATTCTAATTGTCTGATCACAAGGAATCTCCCAGGAAGAAAACCACCAAGCCTTTGTGAAGAATACAGGAAGTGTGTGTACACTGGAAATACCAGCACCTTAGATATGGGTTAGGGGAGGGGATGCCAGACAGATTCTTCCAGCCATTCTGTTTTTCAGTGTTGGTGCTTATGTAGATTTTGGGTTCTAAGCAGGATTCCATCCATACCTAAAGCTGTGCAGTGATGGTGGACCTGCCAGATGCTCTGATGCGCATGTCTGTGCTTTTTGTTTTTTTCTCAGATGAAGTCTCTACAAAAGCCCTGGCTGTCCTGGACTCACTCTGTAGACCAGGCTGGCATCAGACTTACAGACATCCACCTGCCTCTTATTCCCAAGTGCTGGGATTAAAGGCATGCGCCACCATGTCTGGCTCAGCGCTTTTTAAAGTAAAACAAAATCTGCTGTTACTCATGTCATGTGTAATTACAGGGTGGGTGGAATGTTGGTAAATAGTATACAGGAGAGGTAGCAGAGTACCTTTAGTTACAGTCTCGATGTTATATGTGGGAACTTACTCTGTAGGGCAAATGAAGTTTCATTGTTAGACATCAATAGTATGCTTTCCCATTTTAGTGTTTCATACACAGCTGGGGTCTACCCCTACTATATGTGAGCTGGGCTCTAACCCTACTGTGTGTGAGCTGGACTCTAACCCTACTGTGTGTGAGCTGGGCTCTAAACCTACTGTGTGTGAGCTGGGCTCTAAACCTACTGTGTGTGAGCAGTCCAGAACTACAAAGGTGTCTGAGCAGAATGTTGTCTTTATACTCCATGTTACACCTTTAGTGAGCTGGAATCACTACCTCTGATCACATACTGGGCAAACGATAAAGAGATCATTAAAGATGAATGATGCTGAAAACAGTTTAAAGGCTTAACTACTTCTTTGAAAGACCTTTTCCTTCTTTAAGGAATGAACTGTATTCCGACAAGTCACTGCTCTCGACCTTCTGTTTAAGTATACAAAGTGTCTATCTGAAAGGCTGTTACCTTTAGTCACTTGCTGTTACTCCCAGAGCAGAGGCCACTGGGACTTGCAGGGCAGTGTCATTAAATTACAGAATGTACTGTTGTAATAAGATATCTGACATCTGACAAAGGCTGTAGATTGTTTTTCATGGTGATTTTAGACTGATGGTGCTGGTTGTTTAAAATGCTGTCCCTGGGCGCTTCCCTCAGTCTGTTGAAGTGAATCTGTTCTTTATTTGATTTGCTTAAAGTTTCCCCCAGTGATTCTGGTGTACCTTAAAGGATGAGATGCTCCCAGGTCTAGTCACTACCGGCAAGGTTTCCCACACTAAGGCACGTGTCCTTTTCACCTGGGAACTTGAGAAAATACCAACATCCTCAGTTCTTACTAGTTCTGACGTGGAGCCCATAGAAGTTTGAGAAGTATAGGTTGTTCAGTGACTTACATTTATAAGCCGTGGAATAGTTTCAAAACTACCCAGTAATTTGTGGAATTAATCTTAAGGAATAAACTATCCACTGTTGCTCTTGATATATAATCAGATTTAAAACTGAACCTTAGCTGTGGGAAATTGAAAGAGTCCTGGTTAATTAATTGAACTTTTTGACCTGTATTAAAATAAATCGTGTTTAATGAATGAATAGCAAGGCACATGTGTTTTCAGAATTATATTAAGTTTTAAAGACTTTTTAAAATACGAGAAAGATGGCCTGGAGAGATGGCTCAGCAGTGAAGAGCATGGACTGCTGTTACAAAGGACCCAAGTTCTCTTTGCAGCACCTACATGGCAATCCACAACCATCTGTAACTCTAGTTCCAGGGGATCCAGTGCCCTCATCTAGGGCCTGCCAGCACCAGAGACACATGTGGTACACTTTGTCACATGTAGGCAAAACACTCATCCGCATTATATAGAAACAGATAAATCTACACAAAGAAGTACATTATTATCCACTACTTTAAGTTCAGTGGTAAATCAGAAATATGATAGGTGATCAAACCCTAAAGCTTTGGTTGTATTTCAGTAATGTGGAGATATAATAATCAAACCTGTAACCTTTTTATAATAGTCTTGCTGTGATTTTCAACAAATAGAAATTGACTGGAAAAAAATTGCCCTTGTTTTGAAACTAGATAAGATATGCACAGAGCTGAAACGCTGGGCACTCCTTTCATGCTGACTTTACCATGAGTGTTGTGTAAATACGCAGACATTGAATGTAATGTAGATGTGTCCACAGTGAGTTTTGTTGTGGATTCAGTTTATCAGTACCAACTGTGACCTTTGTCTGATTTTGGTCTTATAAATGAAGACTACTGCTGTGGGATGGTCTGTATGTCAAATGTGTTGCTGATTGGTCAATAAATAAATCACTGATTGGTCAGTGGCCAGGCAGGAAGTATAGGCGGGACAAGGAGGAGAAAAAACTGGGAAGTGGAAGGCTGAGTCAGAGAGACACTGCCAGCCGCCATCAGGACAAGGAAGATGTAAAGTACCGGTAAGCCACAAGCCACGTGGCAAGGTATAGATTAATAGAAATGGATTAATTTAAGCTGTAAGAACAGTTAGCAAGAAGCCTGCCACGGCCATACAGTTTGTAACCAATATAAGTCTCTGTGTTTATTTGGTTGGGTCTGAGTAGCTGTGGGACTGGCGGGTGCCAGAGATTTGTCCTGACTGTGGGCCAGTCAGGAAAACTCAAGCTACAGACTACTTTTTATGCACCTAATAAAAGCATCAGAATCATGCGGAATTATTTATCAAGCACTATTCTGTACACAGCAGTATATATTTCTCTTTATGTACATTTGTAGGTGGTCTTTTCTTTCCTGCCTGCCAGTTCCCATGATAGCTCAGGCCTGTTAACTCATTTTCTGCACGTCCTGCTTCCTCTGAATCTGCTGGCATGTTCTCTGACTCTGCCCTTCTTCATCCCAGCATCCTTAGTTTGGTTGTCCCACCTGTAATTCCTGCCTGGCTACTGACCAGTCAGCTTTTTATTAAACCAATTTGAGTGACAAATCTTTATAGTGTACAAAAGGGTTATTCCACAGCATTTCCCCCTTTTTGTCTAAATAAAAAAGGTAGGCTTGTGAAAATGTGTTGCTTGCATTGTTAAAAAAAAGTAAATTGATAGCTAGGCAGGGTTTTGGGGGCAGAGAGAATGCTGGAAAGAAGGACAGAGAAGACTTGAGAAGCAAGATAGGCATGCTGTTCTGAGAAAACATCTGTGGCAAAACAGATAACAAATATGGGTTAATTTAAATGTAAGAGCTAGTAACAAGCCTGAGCTATTGGCTGAACATTTATAATTAATATTAAGTCTCTGTGTGGTTGCTTGAGAATGGCTTGCAGGACAAAAACTTCTACCTATAAATGGCACCCAAATGTTTGGCAACTACATCCACATAAAACCAGAGAGAGCTTCGGAAAGGGTTCTAGACCCCTAGAAATGGAGCTAAGAGCAGCTTCCTAGTCTCATGTCTCATGCCGGCCATGGTACAGGGATGTCTCCTGTGGGCTTGAGTCACCAGTGCATCATGAGATAAGCTATGTAGTGAGTTCCCACAGTCTCTCACAATGGCTGCAGTACAAAAGCATCTCTTGGCAGCTGCCTGTGGGAGGGAGCCAGCTACTGAAACAGAGGCAGAGGTCTTAGCCATGCTGTTTAGCAGTTTAAAGGCTCATGTGGTCAGAAAAAGATTACAGATATGCAGTAGAGACAGATTCAGATGAAAAAAGCCTCTCAATGAGTTATAGTGTGTTTAAAAATATACATAGGCTTAGGAAAGAGAAGATGAAGAATATATACAGTCATAGATTAAAAAAATAATTTTAAAAATGATAAAGTCCTTTCAAAGGGAGTGAAGTAATATAAAAAAAAGCCACATAAAGATGGAAAATACACAGAGTCTGGATACTTAAGGTTATTGTGTTGTTTGAATTATTGTGTTGACTGCTGAGGAAGGAGCAATATCTGCCAAGAGACATTGGATTATAAAAGCTGCTGGATTAAACTAACCTATATATTTTAATGTCTTGACTTCAAAATGTAAGTCAAAAGATGAGTTACTTTAGGGGAGAGGTTATGCTTTTATTTCCACAGGAGATGAAAGGCTGTGGATTTGTTCAAAGTTAAAGATGATCAGGTCTGATCAAGGAAGACCCCTTGAAAGTCCTGACTACAAACATAAAGAAATAAACTTAAAAAACCCCTACAAAACACATAATGTATATTTTACCTGCTCAAACATTAAAAAAAATGATTATCTGTAGCTAGAGTTTTTCTGTTTCTGCCTGGCCCACGGTTAGGACAAATCTCTCTTACCCACCAGTCCCGCAGCCACTCAGACCCAACCAAATAAACACACAGAGACTTGTATTGCTTACAAACTGTATGGCCATGGCAGGCTTTTTGTTATCTAGTTCTTTTATCTTAAGTTAACCCATTTCTATTAATCTATAAGTTGCCATGTGGCTCGTGACTTACTGGTACCTTACATCTAGCTTTTCATGGCGGCAGCTGGCAGAGTCTCTCTGCCTCAACCTTCCACTTCCCAGAATTCTCTTCTCTGCTTGTCCCGCCTATACTTCCTGCCTGGCTACTGGCCAATCAGCATTTTATTTATACAGAGCAATATCCACAACAAAAATCTTTAACTGACTTGTACACACCACATACTCCATACTTGTAGTTTATGTTGCCTTTAAAAGTTCATGTATTTTCAGAACAAGGGGACCAGATACCAATAAAAACAGATGGCCCAGGTGATCCAGCATCCAGGACAGCTTTGAGGATGCTGGCTGAGATGATCCAGCCTCACAGAATACTCTAGCAAGACTTAACAATAATCCTGATCTTCTCATGGTTACCCCAAAGATGCCAACGCCCCCAGACAACAGGAAGCAGTCTAGAAAAAAAGCAATGCTTGTGTTTCCAAAAGATGGGTTATGGGTGTTTGTTATCATTTAAGGGGGGTTGGGTATAAGTTATTACTGGTCATAGTCAGAAAAAAGCTAAATGAAATAGTTAAATTTAAATATCTCTTTCTAAAGGAGTAAAAGGGGATATGATATAAAAATGAAATAAAAGGATAGATTAATCTACTTTAATCCAAAAAACAATTATTAATCTAAAAATATTTCACATTGGTATACTATGTGTATGTTTCTACTCATTTGGGGTATTGTTCTTATGCAACTCATTTAAAAATGTAGTGTATAATTAAGAAATACAGATTAGTAGTCATCTATAATCAAACATGTAGTCATATTAGGTATGTTTTCAAGGTTAAACATATATAGATTAGATCTCTTCAAACATTTCAAAGATTTACAGAATATAGTGTTTAATATGTTTTAACAACAAGACTTTTCTTGACAGTGAGACACGTCTGTTCCTGGCAGGACCAATTTACTTCAGTGAAGATAATGGGCATTGAAGAAACTCCATATGGAGTTTTTTTTTAAATGGCAAAAGCTAGCCATTTGGGCAAAGAAATGGCACTTGCCTTAATTGCTGACAGTACACTGTCCAAACTGTACCAGCAGGATGCAGAGAAGGTGACTGCAAAACTTTGCCAAGACAAGGTAGGACAGTCCTTCAAAATTCCCTGCTTCTCAGTGTGTTGCTATATTGTGTACCCTAATAAACTAGCCTGAGGATCAGAGGACAGAGCCAGCCATTAGATTAGGCATAGAGGTCAGGCAGTGGTGGCACACACCTTTAATCCTATCACTAGGGAGGCAGAGATCCTTCTGGATCTCTGTGAGTTCAAGGTCTTACTGGGCTACATGAGATTGATCCAGCCTAGGAGAGAAACAGAGCCAAGCAGTGGTGGCACACACCTTTAATTGCAGCACTTGAGATCTCATGCCTTTGCTTGGGAAGCACACATGCCTTTAATCCCAGGAAGTAATATGGCATGGCAGAGAAAGTTATATAAGACATGAAGAAACAGGAACTCTCCTTCTCCCCCCGTCTTGAAACAGGGTTTCTCTGTGTAGTTTTGGTGCCTGTCCTGGATCTCACTGTAGACTAGGCTGGCCTTGAACTCACAGAGATCTGCCTGGGAGTGCTGGGATTAAAAGCATGCACCACCACTGCCTGGCTGGAACTCACTCTCTTTAGGCTGAGGATTTTGTAGAGGTAAGAACTAGTAGCTGGCTGTTCTGCTTCTCTGATCTTTCAGCTTTTACCCTGATATCTGTCAGATATACTAGGCCTTAGGCCAATGTTGGATGCCCCAATGTTACAGAAGAAGCTAGGGTGACTGTCCAGGCAGTCAGATATTTATGTCATTAGGTAACATTTCACCCTTCTGGGGTCTTTGACAGAGTTGAAGACTAGATAGTCATAGTTAAAGTTTTCCTTAGTTATAATAAAAGGTAAATTAGATATAAAACTTTCAACTCACAAATTTATAAGATAAATAATAGAGTATTTTCTCTATATTTGCCAAATACAAATGGACTGGATATTGTAACTATAATTCTTAGTTAATAACTGTTTTGTTGCCTATAATTTTACTATGTTAAAGTTAAAAGCTTCCTTTTAAATTAGACAAAAAGGGAGAAATGTGAAATATTCCTTTACACTGTGTGAATATAAGTCATTGTGATTGGTTTAATAAAGAAGCTGACTGGCCAATAGATGAACAGGGAGAGCCAGACTGAGAACCTGAGGACAGAAAGGGCAGAGTTTGGAGTTGCAAGCAGACTCAGAGAGAAGCAAGATGGGCATTTTGTACTGAGAAAAGGTACCAAGCCACATGGCAAAGTATAGACAAGAAATAAGAGTTAATTTAAATGTAAGAGCTAGCTAGTAACAAGCCTGAGCTATTGGCTGAGCATTTATAATTTATATTAAACCTCTGTGTGGTTACATGAGAGTGGCTTGCAGGACAAAAACTTCTGCCTACATACATTACTTCAGACATCTGACCATTTTGCTACCTCTCCTATTTTTTTTCTCTCTTCATGTCCTCTTTGTACTGAATGATCTTTATATCTCATTTCAAAAAAAAATTGCCAGTCCAGGGGCTGGAGAGTTCTTTTAACTTTTCTTGCAGAGGATCCAGGTTTGATTTCCAGCACCCACATAAGGGAGCTCACAATAATCAGTTCTAGGGGATCTGATGTCTCTTCTGAGCTTGCCCATGGTACACATACATGCATTCAAGGATGCAGACATACATATGAAAATAAATACTTGTTAAAAAAAAAGAAAGTAATTACCAGTCCACTCATGAAACCCCAACCAGACTGTTGTTGGAGTTTTTTTGTCTGGCCCATAGTCAGGACAAATCTCTCTCATCTGTCAGTTCCAAGCCGTTCAAACCCGATCAAGTAAACAGAGACATTTATATTGGTTTTAAACTGTATGGCCGTGGCAGGCTTCTTGCTAACTGTTCTTACAGCTTATATTAATCCATTTCTATTAATCTATACCTTGCCACGTGGCTTGTGGCTTACCGGTATTTTACATCTTTCTTGTCCTGATGGCGGCTGGCAGTGTCTCCCACTCAGCCTTCCACTCCCAGCTCTATTCTCCTCCTTGTCCCGCCTATACTTCCTGCCTGGCCACGGACCAATCAATGATTTATTTACTGACCAATCAGCAACACATTTGACATACAGACCATCCCACATCACCAGACACATGAGAAAGACTGGTTGAAGTGATCCAACTCCATAAAGTTAGTTATTTGGGAGTACTATAAGCAGAGTGTGATAGCAGTCATGGGTAGTCTGCAGGCAGATTGAAAGTTTGATACCAGCCTGGCTACAGTGTGAGGGTCAAAACCCACAAAGCCATCACTTTAAGTGGTTTGGTAGCAAGTACTTTAAAACCATTGCTACCCGGGTAAACGCCTTTAGATGGTAGAGATTTCCAGCTAGTAGAGTATTTTAGGCTGGGTTTAAGGTTGATGGATGACCTCTGGAGAGGGCAGGAACTTGGAACTTTCTCTGCGAATTGTGTGTATGTGTATCTCTCAGGGTTGGCTCT